TTTTTTCTGAGAGTGTATAGTACTGATAGTTTGTTATAATGTTCTTAACTAATATTTACATTTGAGAGTATTGTCATTAAAAATATAAAACATGTACTGTATTGTTCATTGCTAGACACCCAGTGCAATCTTAGAGGTTAACGATTGAACCTTACTGTTACCAAAATGTTAAAGAGGGCTGTAGATTTACCCTAAAAGAAGCTCAACACTGGGCTAATTTCATTAACTAAAAACAATAATAAATGTAATTACTTTGAATCGGAGTTATTCAAATATTATTTATATACTATTATAGTTTAATAGTTAATATTTTATTTTATTATATACTTACATTTTACACTTGAATTTTTGTTAAATTTTTAGGTTTTGTTTTTTTGTAATTTTTTAATTTTACTATTTAATTATTCTTTCAGTTTTATTTTTTAATTTTTTAATTCCACTTAGTTATTTTAGTGCTTCAACTTAAAAGTATTTAGTTGCCAAGGCCACATTTCTAAATTATTTTAGTTTAGTTTTTTTTTAATTATTATTATTTTGTTTTATGCTATTTCAGCTTTATTTTAATGAACAGAAATGTTTCAATAGTTTTTAATTAACCTGCTTGAATAAAATACACATGAACTGAAATAAAATAAAATATTTTTAAAAGTTTACTTTAACTACTTTTTTTATTACTTGTAAGTTGAATTTGAAGTACTAAAATAACGAAAAACTAAGAAAACCAAAACTAAAAACTAAAACTTAAGAAAAACTATTTAGACATATATATATATAAAAAAAAAACACTTAAATTACAAAAAAAAAAATTTGTCACTTCCTGTGCAGCACACACCTGATACATTTAAAACGAGCTATTTTTACTCTGTGTTCATTTTATGTACAACAACATTTTCTCTAACATACATAAAAACAACATGGGACAGAGCAAGCGTGTAGCCTGTAGGTTTGTTTGAAGTCGTCATGTTTCTGCAGACTGCACACAGCAGATGGGTGGTGTTAGTGCGGGCGGAGGTTACTGGCCGACGTGGAAGGGGAAATTTAGTGAGCTGGTTGGAGCAGACGGCCTGGGTTTTTCCCTCCTCACGTCTCTGAACTCCTCCTCCAGCCGTCCTGCCATCGCCTGCTCAAAACTCACTTCTACACACATCTCCACACTCACTCCCTCAGGACAATGAGTCACTCGCTTCAGCCATAACTCATTTCCGCTGTAAAGATACTTTATACTGTACTGGAACAGACTAGCAGAGAAACTAGCAGGCAGGAAGTACATTTGGTGAAACTAGTGAGTCTTTCTCTCACTCTTCCTTCTCTCGGCCTCAAGCAGATTCACATAAATAGCAGCTAGTGAAACAGCGCAGTGTCTCTCCAGGGTGTGGTGGCGCTGCAGCTGTGGTTTGTTGTTGTTCGAATGGATGGAGGCCCCCGCTTGACTCCGCTCCATCCTGGCTCTGTCTCCTTCTGTGACACATTTCCTGCCCCACATATCAAGGGAAGGGCCATTTCAGGGTCCCGCTCCTTCCGGAGTGAGCTTTCTTCCCACCACAGAGAAAAAAAGGCTGGTGTGCCTTGCGGCGATGTAAAACTAAGATTTAAAGGAAACATTCGACCCGAAATGAAAATCCTGTCATTATTTACTCAACTCGTATGCTCATATCTTTAACATGAGCACAAAATCACAAAATGAGATTTTGAGCAGAACATTCAGACAACAGTCAAAGTCAATGGGAAACCCAGGGTTAGGGCTGAAAAAAAAATATATATATAGATTTTTCTGATAAAAATTGCCATTTAAAATGCAAAAAAAAAAAAAAACAACAGCAACAACAAAAGCTACAGGTTTGCTGATCTTGTTTGTAGGGCTACACAGTTTGGCCAAAAATAATGTGATAATATACAAATATGACTTGAACATCACTCATTATTATTATTATTATTATTATTATTATTTCTGAATTATAATTAACTATATAATAATATATAACAATGTATTTGCTTTAAATACTTTTAATTAGTAATAATGAAATACAGGTGCATCTCAATAAATTAGAATGTCGTGGAAAAGTTCATTTATTTCAGTAATTCAACTCAAATAAACTCGTGTGTGTATTAAATAAATTCAATGCACACAGACTGAAGTAGTTTAAGTCTTTGGTTCTTTTAATTGTGATGATTTTGGCTCACATTTAACAAAAACCCACCAATTCAATCTCAACAAATTAGAATATGGTGAAATGCCAATCAGCTAATCAACTCAAAACACCTGCAAAGGTTTCCTGAGCCTTCAAAATGGTCTCTCAGTTTGGTTCACTAGGCTACACAATAATGGGGAAGACTGCTGATCTGACAGCTGTCCAGAAGACAATCATTGACACCCTCCACAAGGAGGGTAAGCCACAAACATTCACTGCCAAAGAAGCTGGCTGTTCACAGAGTGCTGTATCCAAACATGTTAACAGAAAGTTGAGTGGAAGGAAAAAGATGCACAACCAACCGAGAGAACCGCAGCCTTATGAGGATTGTCAAGCAAAATCGATTTTTTTTTTATTGGTCTTATGGAGTATTCTAATTTGTTGAGATAGTGAGTTGGTGGGTTTTTGTTAAATGTGAGCCAAAATCATCACAATTAAAAGAACCAAAGACTTAAACTACTTCAGTCTGTGTGCATTGAATTTATTTAATACACGAGTTTCACAATTTGACTTGAATTACTGAAATAAATGAACTTTTCCACGACATTCTAATTTATTGAGATGCACCTGTATAATAATAATGAAATAATAATATGAATTATTACTATTATTATTATTTTATTATTACTAAGTTTAAAAAATAACAATATTTATTACTATTGTAATATTTCACAATATTAAAAAAAAAAAAAGTAAGTTTAAGTAAAATAATAAAATGATAATAATATACATTTTATATTTACGCAATATACATGTAAAATTACAAAACTAATATTTATGGCTGTCTTAATTTCGTTAATATGGTGTTTACATTTTTGTTTAGTAAAATCATCAAGCTTTTGGAGGAAAACGTCAAGCTTCTCTTTTGTTGACAACAGCTGGTTTATAAGCACTTCTCATTACAAGCATGGCAGGACGTTTGGCTCAATTTGCGTCAGCAAATGCATGTTAAAGTGCCTCAAACTCAGACCAGATGCAGAGATGAAGTTTGTGTGGAGCAGCATTTACTGTGAACCAAGACGCTGAAAGCACTGTGAAACATGCAGCGCGTCTTTTATTTTATTACGCACATTTTATTGAAATCACAGCCTTAAGTCCATGCAACTTGTGCATTATATTCCAAGCTTTCTGATATGAGCCACAGACCCAAACTGAAGTCACTAATCAATAAAAAACTTCTGCTCAAGTTGTAGCTCTAAAATCTCATTCGTTCACAAATTCAAAAGTCGAGCGCCTGTGTTCACGCATGCTATTAAATGGAGGATACAAGTGACTGACGTGACGTGTAGCCAAGTGCAGTGTCCCATACTCAGAAATTGTGCTCAACATTTCACCCATTCAAGCACGCACACACACACACTCACTCACTCACACACACACACACACACACACACTCTCACACACACACACACACACACACACTCTCACACACACACACACACACACACACTCTCACACACACACACACACACACACACTCTCACACACACACACACACACACACACTCACTCACACACACACTCTCTCTCTCTCACACACACACACGGAGCAGTATATGGATGTATATGGTAAATATTCACATCAAAGCTGAAGTTTACTTAGTTTTCACTATTTCATGTGTTCTGGAGGACGAGACAGGTGTGTGTTTCAGGTGCAGCGGGTCTAAACACGCACACGTGATATAGGTCCACACACGTCGGTTTGGCAGGTGAAGCTGAGCTTATCGCAGAATCTGAGAGAGGAGCGCTGAGATACAGCAGAGTGCTAATCAAATGTGAAAAACAGAAAGCCTGCACAGGGCCTGAGCAAGCGCAAACCTGCCCCGTTTAATTACGAGTGTGACGAGCAGCCGCTCAAGTGTGGTCAGACTGGAAATCACACACACACACACTAGACCTCCTTAAAGCCAGGATTTGAGAAAAAGATCTTTTAATGAGAAAGACTGGAAGACTTTCAAAGACGAGGGCAGATCATTTGAAACCAGAGAGGAGCTTTTTAGGGAAGCTGAGCCCAGATCAAACACAAGCTCTTGTTCCAGAGAATAAGCCCCGACCGCAGAACGAGAGCTGATCCCGCTCTGACCACATCTGCACAGTTATGATCTCTCTTCACTGGTTTTGATGCACATTCATCCTGAGGAACACGATCTGAGCGGCTCCAGTTTATCACAGAGCTCAGAGGAAGACGCACATCCACCGGAAGACCAGGCCAAACTTCTGCGTCCGATCTGACTTTACTGTACTCGGTAATGAAAATGAAGAGCTACCTTTCTACAAATTAAATTATCTATTGAATTTAAAACGTCTTGTCAAGGAAACTAAAGACATGCGATGCAAGGAGCTACAAAACTCATTCTTTTTTTTTCAAGGAGCTACAAAACTCATTCTTCATTCAAGATTCACATTCATGTTTGATTTTTGAAGCCCGCTGAATGATAATGGGACTGATGGCCTGCAAACACATTACAATTATAGGCAAATATTTAAATCCAGCAGCTGCAATGAGATGCATTTACCTCTAACACAATGATGATCAACCAATGCTAATTTAATAGAAATACGAACCATATACAGTAACAGCTAACTAACAGTGCCAGCAGCAGCAGCAGCATAAGTTAAGCCAGTAGAAAGTAAAGAGGTGATCATTTTTTAATAATAGTTATCACATATGGTTCCTAAGCTGCAGTGCATGCTGGTGCAATGTAAACCTGGTTGTTCTGGTCACTCCTTTTTGGAAAGTTGGGAGAATATTTTATATATTATATCCACTGCAATTAAGGTACAAAACAACTTGCGTTAGAAACCTAGTTAGAGTATTCTTGTTCAGTTCACACAATAATTGACTAAAAATCTCCATTCCATGAGCTCCAGAGCTACTTTTTTACTTTTGGTTTGCAGTTGAACAATGCTTAATACTCAGTGTTGAGTGGTTTGATCACATGACTGACTCAGAGCACCAGTAATAGTGAGGCTCGCCTTAGCAAACACCACTAATTACTGTGTGCACTAGCTAAAGGCTAAATCACACCACAGCAAAATGACAGATTTCAGATGAGCCATCATTTGTGGATGGCGTATATTCTTCATTTTAAACATTATGTGTGTTGACAACAATCCATAATACGAGGTTTATGATGACAACTCACAATAGGTGGATATAATCAAACAGTCATGGTTTAAAACCGTTACCTTTATCTGTAACTAGCCTAAAAAAAAGTGGAAAATCCAAACATGGGGCCAATCCTATCTTTCGCTCCCATGCGTGGTTTGAAGATAAGGGCCGGTGATGTGGCCCCTAAAGGGCCTGAGAGGAGATTACAGTGCTGTCGGACAGTGCCAGGATCAGTCGTGCTCCCTCTGGACCCGTGAGAATAGATAAAACAGCCAACATATCCAAAGGCTTTCTCCCAGCCAGCCTCTGTCGCAGAACACTGCTGGATCAATAGCCACGAGCTGTAACCCCTCATCACTCGCCATCACTCAATCCCAGAAATCCCGGCTTCATTTCTACAGCGCAGAAGTTTGATCCCAGCTGAGGTTTACACACTGATTAGCTTATACAATGTATAAAAACTCCTCGTGCACCTGTAACAACAGCTTTCCAGAACCAGATCATGAGGGAGCTGAAAAGAAACCCTGCAGGTCCTGGTGAGAGAGTCCAATTTACTACTTAAAGGGATAGTTCACCCAAAAATGAATATTAGCCCATTATTTACTCACCCTCAAGTCATCCTAGGTGTATATGACTTTCTTCTTTCAGACGAATCCAGTCGGTGTTATATTAAAAATGGTCTTTGATCTTTCCAGCTGTTTAATGGCAGTCAACGGGTGTTGCAGTGCATTAGTCCAAAAGAAGTGAAATAAAGCGCATCCATCCATAATAAAAAGTGTCTCACACGGCTCCGGGGGGTGAACAAAGGTCTCCTGTAGCAAATCGATGCGTTTTTGTAAGAAAAATATCCATATTCAAAATGTAATAATCACTTTAATGTAGCTTGCGCCAACAGTTGTACACAGAAGCAGCTCCGGGAGGATGACGTAAGATGTCTGCGTTGCGCATGCGCCGGTGAGTCTCGTGAAAACCAACATTTGTTTACAGGAGCAAAGGAAGCAAAGTTTCCTTACTTTAGCAAAGGAAAACCAGTCTCCTCTTGGCTTATATCGAAATCCTCCGACATTCTTCTTTACAAATCCTTCTAAGTCATGACCGTTGTTTTGTTTCGATCTCTCCGCGTGCGTCACTTCTGAGCGGCGCATGCGCAAAACCGACCTCATACGTCATCCGCCCGGAACTGCTTCTGTTTACAACAGTGAGTGAAAGCTACATTAAAGTGATTATTACGTTTTGAATATGGATATTTTTCTTACAAAAACGCATCGATTCGCTACAGGA